CATGGCGGCTTGTAGGAAGATTAAAACTAGATCATGTTTATGGGAAGTTGGACATTGGATGGGATTTGAAAGCAAAAATCACGAGAGTAAAGAAACATGTGTTGTGTAACCTAATACACGTGTAGCGTGATGAATATTTTACACATTGGGCAACAAACTTTCAAAAGTTGGTCAAAGACCAATTATAAGGGTCGTGTAAAATAACATGATCCTTTTTTTTTGATAACCTGGCCATTAAGGCAACGCACATCATTAGAAGACTTGAATGCATTTTTGATAAAACGTGGACCATGTAAAATAACACATACCGTGCAACCTACCAAATATCTTAATTTCGTTATGTTATGTAACGCCCGTAGATCCGAACTAGTCAATTTAGAGACGATAAGCGTCAAAATGACTTTTTGATGGAAGATTATTTAGAAGGAGTAATATTAGCTAAGTTGTAATATATGTTACAAGGATTCCATTCATATAAAGAATGCTGAAATCCGAGTTATAACAAAGAAATTAGGACTCGTCGAAGTTTGGCGACAGAACCGGCACGACGCTGAATGACGTAAAAAGTGAATTTACGTTAAAGCAATATTTAGCCTTAGTAATCTAAACAAAAGTCGTAGAGTATGTTAAACCGAAAGCGTGCATAAAAAGAACGTCCAAATCTGACTTTGTATGAGGAAGTTATGATTTTTCCAAAGTTTCGACTTAGCAGTATGCAGCCCGAATCCTCGATTTGAGATCGAGTGATTTTTATCCGAAACAATCTAAATGAGAATCAAAGATCTCATTGATAGTAGTGAAACGATAAATAGATAGGCAGAAACGGACATCAGATGATGAAGTTATGAATTTATAACGGAGTTTTCCTGTCCCGGTCTACTAAAAATAATATAAAAATAATATATTTATAATATATTAAGAATAAATTCAAAATTAGCCAATGGAGTCTAAACTAGAGTTGTAGAGCATATTCTAACCTACGCGATGATATAAAGAACGTTGAAAACGGAGTTCGTATGCGAAAGTTATGAATTTCTGAAGTTCGGGGCGCGAAACCCCAAAACTATCAGCCACCATGACGTGGCAGGAGCTCTAGAGTCTGTCAGACCCACTTGCAATGACACATGCAGTGAAGACCCAACCACCACGACGTGGTAAACCGTACCACAATGTGGCAAGGGCAAATTTTGTCCTATAAATAGATTTGAAGGGCCAGCCGAGTTTGGGTTGCTCCAGCTCCTCTCTCTCACTCCCGATACCCTCTATAGCCATCCCAAAGTACCCCCGAAGCCCCGGTTTCATCCCGAGACCCGAATCAAGTCCCGAAGCCTGAAGATCCCGAGAAGTGAGATTCCCGAGCCGAAGCTCTGCCCGCGAGAAGCCCGGTTTTTATGAAGATCTTCCAGATCTACCGAAGAATACTACTTCTACAAGCCGTAGTGCTGTCCGATCATCTTCTGATCAAGTGAGTGTGTGGTCACTTTCTTCTAACACATAAATATTAAGTATTTGCTATGAAATACGTACTATGTGTATAATATAAAGTTGTTTATACGTGTGGGTGCATAGTCCCTTTCATAAACACGAGTATAATACAAGTATTGTTTGAATGTATTATGTATATGTTTGGGTGAGTGTATAGTTACTTTCTTCCAACACATAAATATGAAGTATTTTCTATGAAATACATGCTATGTGTTTATATATTGTTGTTTATTTGAGATAAGTGTGGAATAGATGTTTTATATAGTTTTTTTTTATATGAGTTAAACTGTATATGTATTTTATATCTACAAATATGTTGGGTAGAACATGGGTAGATGAGATAGTTGGTATGTGATAAAATGATGAGGTAAATGATGAGGTATGAAAGATGATTAAGCATAATATTGGTAGATGCACAAAATAGAGAATGGCATAATGCCAGCAGATGCGCTTAAGCATAATATTGGTAGATGCACCAAATAGAGAATGTCATAATACTAGCAGATGCGCTTAAAGATAATATTGGCAGATGCGCCTAATAGTGAATGTCGTAATCCTGGCAGAGGTGCTTAAAGGATAATGTTGGCAGATGCGCCTTCTGTAGCAATGGAAGTTTGTGCTAATTCCTTAGGTCAATCCTTAGGAATGAATGAAGGAATGATAGTTGATTAATAGGGTAAAACTTTGAGAAACAAAGAAGATAATAAGGATGGGTAACTGAGTTGATTGTTTGATGATTGAATATAATAATTATATTATTGTGGGTTGAAACCCCTATATGCTCATTAGGCTCCCAAAACCTGACTCACTCAGTTTTCTTTGCATTACAGGTAATGACACAAGAGTATAAGTTAGTGGACTTGACGAGAGATTTTAGATTATAGATCAGTAGTTATAAATAATTGTTGTAAGGTCTATTTTATATTGTTTATGCTTTTGGTCTGTATCGGAACATGACATCTTGAGATTTTGTTATTTAATGAAAATACATTTCTTTAAAGAAATGCTTTGATAAATTCTTATCATATTTTGTTTTGGGAACAAATCCCGCAACCGTTTTCTTTAAACGAATACTCTGATTTATAAAACAAAGCATAAACAAATCAGTCTTTTCTGACCGTGAAATTAGGGATGTCACATGTTATTGTTCCTAGAGATAGGACCAACCGCCACGTTATTTTACACATTCGGTTTTGGTGACCTAGAGGTGACTCTGAGGCATTTTTTGAGTGTAAGAAATAAACCCTTTTATTTCGACATGTTCTTACTTTGATTTCAATTTCATGCTTTGTTTTGTTTCTAGTCATGTATGGCTAAATTATAGAGTTCAGTTTTGCAAAGACTTCAACTTTTTATGAAAGTAATCTTGAATTTAGTGTTAATTCGTATTTTATCTAGCAATTTCAAATTTGATTCAACCAAATGTTTGATTTTGATTTGATTCATGTTGATCGTTTGAATTAGGGTTAAGTGAATATAGTTATTCAAATCGGTAAAATTTGTAATTGTTTTTATAATTAATAAAAAGTAACAAACATCAAATTGGTATTGTGATCGGATTTAATATCGATGCAAACTGAGAATTGCATGTTTTCACACTCGTTAGCTTAACGCAATCTTTAATCTTAATTCCAAAAGCTTGTTTAGATTAGGTTATAAATATTAATTTTAATTCAAAGAGCTTTTTTTTATCAGAAAATTTGGTAAACAAAATATTTTAGACCTTGCTAGTATCTTTCAGTACCAACTTAGATAGAATCAAAGTTGATACAACTTCCAAATTACCCTCCATAATTAAAAGAGTCATAACTAAATCACTTTTACCTATGAACTTCTTTAAAAAAAATGTGTTATTTTTTTTCCCGTTTTTAGTTGTTAAACAAAACCCCCTTTTATTTAATTGTCTGGATACATGTATCTTCCACAAAGAGGCATATACCACTAGCACGTGTCCTTGAGAGTCGACTCTGTTGGACTTGTACTCCACTTTTGTGCAACAACCTATGTTTTTTATTACCAATTTTATTTGTTGGGTCTAACATCCCAACATGTGTAGTCTCGCCTAAGGCTAAAAATTGACCCAAAACTACTTTACATGTCGTGAGTGGCCTTAGGTGCTTTTATGTGTTGGCACAAAGCAGGAGGGGGGTCATGCGGTCCACACATAAGAGGTCACGCGGTCCACACATATGAGCCTCCATCCGTCTCTATTGGTAAATGTTTGGTAAACACAAATTTTCATTTCCACTCAAACGCTTATGTAGGGAAATTAACAAATTTATTTAATGATTTTATTAGTCTTTTGCAAATCAATTGGGATGTTGCTACTTTTCCATATTTTTCTGCTTGTAATGATCTCTATGAAGAGCCTCGTCCAATGATCTAACAAATTCTTTGATTACAAGTTGATCGACCAATTTGAATGGTGAGTCATACCTTTAAAAAGATTAGCAAAAAGAGAAATCTTGCATATCAAAAGTTTTTTAAACCAAAAAGCTTTTGAAGATTGAAAAAGTTATTGGAAAACATTTTTCAACCCAAAGTTTTTACAATGATCTTGTTAATTAACAAACTTTTATCATTATTTCTTTTAAGTGCACGAACGGTTCCTATGGTTTGGGGTAATTTGCATGTTTGGTCATTGTCTTATTTTTTTAACTCGGAAAGTCCTTATAGTTTGTTTTTGTTACGTGTTTGGTTTCTGTCTTACCTATAAAGACTATTTTGCCTTTAATTTTTTAAATTTATTTAAATAAGGTGAGATAGGTAAGGTAAGGTAAGATAAGATGAGGTAGAAGTGGAGTTATGAGTGTGTTTATTTAAATAAATTAAAAAAATCAAAGGAAAAATAATCTTTTTAGATGAGATATAAACCAAACGTACAACAAAAACAAATAATATGAACTTTCCAAGTTAAAAAAATAAATTAGGGATCAATCGTGCAAATTACCCCAAACCACAGTAACTGTTCATGTAATTTACTCTTCTTTTAATTATTGTGTGGGTTTTATATGTTTTTCAACAAATTATAACTGACACAGTATAAAAAGCAAATTTAAAAGTTATTATGCCGTAAAGAAATAATAAGTTATTTATTATTGTTATAAAAACCCCACTAAAAAGGGTTCGGATGCTATTAGTCTTAGGACAATCAAAAAGAACTTCAAATTGGTACGTGGTTAGGTCCAAATTTGGTAGATCCAAAACTCCGTCAGCGTAAGGTGTACGAGTTTTAGTTCAGAAATCAGAAACCAACTATTCAGTAAAAAAAACGTCAACAGCAGGATTCGAACCTGCGCAGGCAAAGCCCAACAGATTTCGAGTCTGTCTCCTTAACCACTCGGACATATTGACCAATTTGGATTATTTCTAAACTTTATTTTAAATAAATACAATCTATTTTAACGAATGTATAAGATAATGAAACTGATGGTAAGTTTGTTTCACTTTATTGGTTAGATATTATATAAAATAATGAAAATCTAAAAAATTGTGATATATGGGGGCCATCATCTCCCGAATCTTGACTTCAATTCATTGATAAGAACATATAATAAAAATTCTTGGATCAATCATAAATTGGGTATAACTATGACCTTACCACAATTATCTCAAGTTAACATTTCTTTACATTTGTTATCTATATATACATATGTTGCACACTAACTTGCAATGAACAACAACTAATCCTCCTGATGACTAGAGCTTCTTATGCTCTAGGATTTCGATTCCAGGTGTCAAATTTCCATCATTCGGACGCGGGTTTCCGTGTATTTCTAAAAAACCGCTTAGTTATTATCGTTAATGTTATCATCAGTATTATTCAATACTCGCAAAGCCGATTCATAAGCCGTGAAAATAGCCCCGTTCACAATAAAAGCTCGACATACCGTACTTCCAAATCCACGAATCAACACACCCATACCATCTTTCCTTACACTCTTCCAAAAACAATCAACAATTCCATTATACTTCACCGAAGAATTCGGTGTTTGAGCTTGAAGTCTAGTTTTAACCACATCTACAGGATAACAACATAGCCAACTAGCAACTCCGGCGAGACCTCCGGCGACAATCATTGTTTTGAAGCTCTCTTGACCACTTTGCCGACACCCCGGGTGGAATTTCTCTCTCGTGTATTCGTATGACCAAAAATAGACACCGTATGAAGGTGCGTCTCTTATGATCGTGATGGTTAACCCTCGGAATAAACCTTTCCAACCTTCGGTTCTCATGATGTTTTTAGCGACGCTTAGTGGACCACTTTCTGATTGTTCGTGTAGTTGTAATCGGATTTTTACTAGTTCAATAGGAGTTACCACGAAGCTTTGTATGGCACCGGCTCCGGTGCCTCCTAATGCAACACTTCCATATGAAGGAGGTACTGTGGGGGATCTATAGGAGTCCAATGCTCGCGACAGTGTGGCATTGCTTTGAAAGACCACTGCGTTCTGACATGACATGATATGACAAGTATGATGGGTTAGGTTGCATTTGTTATATGTACATGACATGACATGAAAGTACAGTACATTAAAACTAAATTGGGACTGATATGATGTAAATGGGATTAAAAGTTGCAAAAAGAAAGTTCACCCAAAAAGGTACTAATCCACTTTAGTTATGAATCTAAAACATTTGTATCAATAAGGTCACGAATGTTTCATTGTGTGTTCAAAGTAATTGTTGTAAGTTGAAAGATCATAATCACATAATTAGTTTATTCAATCTAAGAATAAATAGATAATCTAACATAACTTCGTATATGTTATTCAAACTTGATGCTTTTGGCAAAATATGTGAATCTTGATCACTTTTTTTCAAACACTTGAAACTAATTATAACTCACTTTAGAGTTTAGACACACATTTAAGCACCCTTTAATTAGAACTCCCCAAAAGCATGAAATTAGTAAAGATGGTGAATCCACATATGAATTTTCAACTTGTTCACGTGTTTGAGATTTTGCAAGAACAATGTAGAGGTTGTTTCCGAATCTTTTATTGAAAGGGTTAGATGTGTATTTATGCAACAATATTGTACTTTCTTAAATTTATGCAACAAAGTTGCTTTTTATACAACATATGCAATAACGTTCTACTTAAATAGGTTAACACATGATTACATAATCCATGTAAATGATAAATATATAAAACATTTAATCAATATAATTTCATCAGGTAACGGGTTCCAAATTACAATGTTGCATATCTTGGTTGGTACTAGAACGAAACGTGGTTGTATATTTCGTTTAAAACCCCATTTTGTTGCTAGAAATCTAGAATTAAAAGAAATAAACAAACAAACATACATTGTTGCATGGTATTTAACAGACTACATATGAAAGCTCATGAAATATGAAAATGGGGGGAAATGGAAATGGAAAAGGAAATACAAAACCTGAAAGGTAACAGTGGCAAGAGGCGCACCCATGCCTCTAAAAAGAGAAAGTGGGCCTTCTTTAGCTGCAATATTTTTGAGGATGCTAAACGCAGAACCCACCTCTTGACAGTTTTGTTGTCTGACTCTAACGGTGTCAAGAGGGTATCCGGCGACAATTCCGGCGATTCCCCCAAATCCACCGGCCAGAAACTCTTTGCCCCAACTGCTTGCAAGAAACTCCGGCCAAAAATCCATCTACTGAATCTTCTATAAGTACCATATATGTACACATACATTCAAGAAATCAGGCTCGATTATACAACACAAAAAATGTCAACGATGTATGTAATCAATAAACCTCCATTCGGGTTTGCCCGGCTTAACTAATGCGAATCCTAATGGAAGGACGATGTGGAAACTATATAGCTTGGTGTGGTTTTCCGAGCATTTGGGAACTTTTTTATGTGAAAAATGTAAGAAATATATTAGAAATTGAATTATGGGCACAATTTGTTTGCTTTATGTTATGAAATAAAGAGAGAGAAGCTAAGAAAGTGGGTGTTTCTAGATGTGGGGGACTCCGAAAAAAAAGCCTGCCCATACACTAAGAAGTGGCTTGTAATAAACATAAGGTAAAAAGGAAATAAAAATAAGTCAAAATGGTTGCTAACTTGGGTCATAGCATCAGGTTTTGGATTAGGTTGTAAATTCGATTAGTTCTGTAACGAGTTCAAATAATTTTGAGTTGAAGTGAATAGGCTTTAATAAGAGGCGAAACTTATGCACTGGCGGATCTAATATCTGGACCTCATTTGAAAGTGGATCTTAACTCCTATTTTACTAAAATGATCCTTCAAAAATTCATCTTTTGTTGAAATTATCCTGAAAAAACCTATTTTGTACTATTTTTAACATGAAAAAGCCTTCAAAAAAGCTCAAAATTTCAGATTTTTTCTACTTTCAAAATTTTGTTTAGTTTTTTATATAAGATAGACCCGGTAATGTTTTTTCTTGATCTGTGATTGTATACATGGCACGAGCATTTGTCGTGGCAACGTGGGTTTTCTTCCGAATAAGCAAGATGGAAGCACCACACCAGCTTTGGTGTACTCCTAACACAAACACAAAGACAAGAAATGAGTGAGACACAAGATAGAGATAAAGAGAGAATGCACATTGTGACCTCTCGTAGTGAAAACCACAACAACCAATGGTTGTGGTGCCATGTAAGCACAACGTCATCCCCAGGATAATATGAACATGCGTTGTCCTTCTCTTGCTCGTAACCATGAGACTTTCAGTATAGATATACCTGATGGCCTTAGCTAATATATAAAGAATTATAATATGTTTGAGTTGTAATAAATAAACTTTGATGTTGGTTGACACATATTAAAATGAGTTGTGTTGATCTGTATTTTTTTGGTTTAATTCTTATTTAATTATGAGAAAAATTAATACCGTAAGTATATATAATTATGAGAATTGTGTTTTATATACTCCAATACTGACTTTTAATTCAAAACGAGCTCTTGCTCAAGGGATAATTTTTCCGGTATATGTTTTTTGGAAAAAATAATGCGTTATTTGTTTTTTAAAATGTAAAAGATCTGCAGTTTGCGGATCACATCTGCAAATATTTACAGAAGAAGAGGTAAATCAAACGTTTGTAGTTTGCAAAAAGAAGATTGTTTGCTTTTAAAGTTTGCACGTTATTAAAATATAATGAAATTTAAATAAACTGTGTTTTTAAACTTAAAAGAATTTTTTAATACTAAAATTTAAATAATTATAGTTTTACAATACTTATTAAAGAACTCAACATTCAAACCATCTTTCCTTATAAAATTATAAAACACAAAACATTTAATGATAATGTTTCTTTGTAAAAAGGATTTTCTAAAAAAAATTATAAAAAGTATAAAAATAAGTTCTTGCAAAATTTGATACAAAAACATTCATAAAACTTGTTTTTCTTAGTTTATAACATAGCAAGGAATAACGATTATAACTTTCTTTTGGATCTAATTAAAAAACTACTTAAAATATTGAGTCTTTGCTAAAATTATCTAAACTTTCGAAGAAACCACACCAAAAAATGATAACTTAAAAAATTAAACGTTGTACGTTTTTTACTCAATCTAAGAATGTTTTTTAAGCCTAGAAGATGTAAGGAGTGTTAGATCATGTCTGCTCCAAAAAAAAAAAAAAAAAAAAAAAAAAAGGCTCCTTCGCCCACATTTTTAGGTTTATGGTTTTTTAAAAAACAAACGGCCTGCAAGTAGAAGTGTTTGCACATTGTCTGTGTGGCAAAGGCATAAAAGGTCTTTTGAAAAAAAAAAAAAAAAAACACCTAAATGTCTTTTGTAACATTTATATTATTTTCAAGTACTATAAATGTTATTAGTAAATTAGTAATTGTAAATTTGTACATGTGGTTTTAAAGTATTTAGTACAACTTGAAGAATTAAAATCAAATCAAATAGGTAACTAAGGTTATATATTATTTGGTAATTTTACATTCATTTCAACATCGAACTTTCTCCATACGTTTTTATACAATTTTCCAAATCTGATTATTTTCGCCTCAAGTAATAGAATTCAGTCATTTTTTTACTAATAAGCACTCAAAACTGATTATTATGACCAAAAAATATATAATAAACACTTTAGATACAAAATTCTTGTTCCAACACCAAAAACATGATGTTTTCCTCATTGTGACTACAGCATCCAATAAACACTTTAGATGGACATTCTAACACCTGGAAAATGATGTTTTCAAGATTTACACATGAAGACAACACAATTCCAGTTAGGTTTAACCATGGGGTTGAGTTTTAAAAGAACTTAACGTTTCAACCTTCACCCAAAAGCCTGCCTTTTTTAAAAATTTAGAACTCATAACCAAACAAAACATAACCAGTTCCAGTTTATGACAGAGTCAGCATACAGCCTAAACAACATCTAGACCAAATATCACCATGATTATTATTACAAGCAAACTGCAAAAGGTTTATACTGAATTTACCAAACACGTTCAGCTAAGATATTAGAAGCAGAATTCACAAATCACAACATAATAGTAGTAGTTATATGCAGCAACTTCAGCTCTGCTTCATCTCATTTCTTCCCACTTTTCTTCAGACCAGTACCTCCTAGTGCTCCCTTTTGAGCCTTGGCTCTAAGCTCCTTAAGTGCCTACAGTGGACATTAAAAGTTTAGCAACCTACTTTTCAGCATTTCAAATAAAACATATAGAATACATAATAATCTCACCTTTTCCTCATCCTTCTTCTTTTGAATGTTGGCCTTATCTACCTGCAACCCAAAACGTACAGTTTTATTAGGGCTAGTTTGGATGATGAGAATTAGGAGTGCATTCATGTCTTCTGAACAAATCAGTGATTGTGGCATTAGAGAGTAAAGGTGCTTTTCTTGTTTAATTTGAGTCCCATGTTTTGAAATCGATATATTGGATTTAAGATAGATAGCTTTTGGTCTCCTTTCCAGATAATGAACCAATTACAGCAGAAGATTATATTGACGTTCAGAGCTTTAAACTTTGAGTATATATGTTGCAAGAAAATCAAGTCAGCTGAACATCAATATCAGCTAATAGTCTAATAATGAAGATCTATGGTAAATGAACAAGAAAAGGAAAAGTAAAACTTTAAGAAAAAGGCTTCTGCAAGGAGTTCAGTACAATTGAGCAAGTCTATTAGGAAAAAAAAAAAGATAGATGAAAGAATTCACCCAAAAAAGCAGTATAGAAAGAAGAGGAAGATCATAAAGTTGAACTACGATCTAACAATTTATCAAATCAACAATTGTCTATCACAAGTAAAAATATCAATCATCAACAACTGGAATCAACTTACATACAGAAATACAAAACAAATATAGGGACGAAAGAATCAATCAATAAAGTTGGTAAAGAATACCTCGTCGTATTCTTTCTTCTCAGACTTGGGTTGCTTCAATGGCTTTGCTTTTCCTCCTGCCCAAAACAACAAGTTTTGAATTAGAGGTTGCAGTTATTGCAAGAAACTGGCAGATCGAATCATCCTGGCTTGCGAAAACTAAGATTACGAAGAAGGTAAACTACGGAGTACCTTGCTTGGACGACATGATCGGTTAGGGTTTGATGCTGTAAAGAAACACGCAGAATGGAAAATGAAATAACCTAACCTGAACGCTAACTTCTGATGCATTCGAAAACCCCTCGACCATATTTATAGTCGAGACAGGTACGATTTCGCACACTTACCCCGATAGTCTGAATTAAAAAAAAAAAAAAAAAAAAAAAAACAAAAAACAAAAAAACATTTTAAAAATAAGAGGAACTTGGAATTTATGAAAAATCAAATTATTTACATGACTAATACATGGAATTACCCTTTTTCAGTCCTCATTTAAGATGAACCACAATTAAGGTCTAATTACTCACCCACCCATCTCGATCACTACCTTATTACTCACTCTCCTGTTCTCTCAAAACATCACTCTAATTCCATGGATGAAAATCAAGATTTTCCAATAGTCGATGTACATTGCAATGCTACTTTTGTGCCTAATGTTAAGTTAAGAAACGATAAATAAAACAAATTACTTACATGACTATTACATGGAATTACCCTATTTCACCCCCTCATTTAAGAAGAACAACAATTAGGGTTCAATTACAAACCCACCCTTTTCAATCACTACCTTATTACTCACCCTCTCCTTCTCTCAAAACATCACTTTAATTCTATGGATGAAAATCAAGATTTTCCAATAGTCGATGTACATTGCAATGATACTTTTGTGCCAAATTTTAGGTTAAGAAATGATAAATAAAACAACTCTGAGAAATACAAGAAAAAATAGAAACGAAAATCAAAATCAACGCACACAAAACATAAAGATTTAAGTGGTTCACATTATCTTCCGATAGGCTACATCCACTGTCGAGAGAGAGAGAGAGAGAGAGAGAGAAGAAAGATTTTATTCCACACATGTTTTTTCTGCTACCATGTTACATATACGGTCGTTCATAAGTATATAAACGACAAGTTTGACCTAAACATTTAAAAGGCGAAGCCTGACTGAAAACACAAAGAAAATAAACCCTAGAAGTACCTTTCAAGTAACGCAGCAACCACTTGATTCCTTCCCAATGCACTTTACACGAATTTTAACATAAATATGCTCACAATTCCCACCACATGTATAATGTCTGGTCCGGTGCACACCATAGCATACATCAAACTGCCAACTGCTGATGCATATGGGAGTTTGGCCATTTCTTTTCTGTCTTCATCTGTCGTTAGTGACTGTTTCTTGGAAAGTTTTATCTGACTTCCCAAAGGTGTACTTCTTGGTTTTGCATCACTCATGTTGAACTTCTCTAGAACCTTTTGGATATACTTTTGCTAAGATAGCTTCAAAGTTCCAGCAACTCCATCTCTGACTATGCTCATCGCGAGAATTTGTTTGGCAACTCCCAAGTCCTTCATCTCGAACTCTCTGGAT